GTACTGTAATCACGCGCTGTGCTGTAATAATGCAGGGAACCACTCGCTATAAATCTCCTAACTGTGATATTTTCAGAAATAGAAATCGTTTCCAAAGCCACTCATATAATGCAGAAACACTCATGAAGCAAGCAAAACACGCGCAACGCATGCACGTATTTGTACTGATGCAGAATAGTACAGCCTAGTGCATTTCACACAGGCTGCTAGATTCACTTTCGCCAGAAAGTCGTGTATTGCCTAAGGTTGATGAAGTGATGTTTATAGTGAATGCCCCTATAAATTGTCTTATATTTACGGTTTAGTTTTAATCCAAATGATGCGTGTGCTAAGTGAGTGAACATCAAAGATCACACAACAGAATTGTGCTCTCTCTCTCTCTCTCTCTCTCTCTACCGTTAAGTAACTTGTGCATTGTTTTACTTATTTGTTTTTGACATATCCGACCGAACTACAAACTTTCCTGTGATGTCTGTGAGAAAGGGATATTCACTCAACAAACTCGCACATGTGCGCCGCCGTGTGCTCAATCCATTCAGCGTGCTTTGTTTATCAGCTCGCACACGTCAGCTATACAGGCGTTAATACTGAATTTTCAGTATCCGTAGACATCCTTAATCTCTAACAACCATTCTGCTGTCTGTTGTTCTGTTGTCGGTGTTTCTTTGTCTGAATATGGCACTTATCGCATGCTGTGTGGTATCGGCGTTTGGTATCGGGGCATTTTAACAAGTACGAGTATGAATACAGGAGCTCAGTATCGGGCCTGAGCTAGTAATATGCATTGCTAAGAACTTCATTTGGACAACTTTAAAGGCGATTTTCTCAATATTTCGATTTTTTTGCACCCTCAGATTCCAGATTTTCAAATAGTTGTATCTCGGCCAAATATTGTCCTGTCCTAACAAACCATACATCAATGGAAAGCTTACATATTTTCCGCTTTGAGATGGTGTATAAATCTCAATTTCACAAAATTAACCCTTATGACTGGTTTTGCGGTCCAGGGTCACATTTGTCCTTATTGTCAACACGAAACTTGCTCTTACAACTCATTTATACTATGGTAATGTGACAGATATTCGAGTGGTATTCAATAAGACAAAAATACATGGCAAGACATGAGTTTATTCATTAGGGACTGATTGAATGGAAAAATGAGCTCTCAATATGCCACATTGTTCAAATTATTTTTATTTTTTTAACATAAACTATGCAGTGTGCAACAATAATCTATTCAAATTTAAGTTTGAAGCATTGTTCACATGATCTGTTTATTTTATTGGTAAATGTTGCATATGTTTATTTTTAACTCAACAATACAATTATCTCAGAAATAAATACTCTTATTTTTAATCACAGATGATTGGCAGTCCAGTCAAATAAGTGTAAGAGTCAAAAATGTGATTTATGTGAATATCCAGGTTGATATTACCTCCAGATAATTCATAAAAATCATTTACAAATAATTTATGCATTTAGCAGACACTTTTATCCAAAGCGACTTACAGTGCATTCAGGTTATACATTCATAATTATTTAAGGCTATTAATTCATAATACCAGAAGTGGAAGGTCATGTCAAACGCATTGCATTGTGGGATATAGTACCTAGCACAGTATGCTCTGTTACATTCTGCACATTTTGGCGAAGGCAATAAATGTTTCAGGTATCCATGCCTAGAGAAATTCCTTTTACTGTTCACCTGCAGGTATAGTTCAAGTACAGTGTGTGTGGGTGGGATGTGTAGGATTTAATTTTCACTCTAGTAAATTTCACAAATAATTACAAAGAAACAGCAAGTAATATGAAATTAAACAGGAAATTTAAATATATAAAAAAAAAGATTGAACTTGTATTTTCTTTTCAAATGTACTCCAACAATCTTTGTTTTATTTATAACTTATGAATAATTTATTTAAAAAATAATAATACTAATTACAGTGTAGTGGTAAGCCATGCACAGTACAGAAAGACAAAAAGCACTAATTTGGTGATGGTTCATTTTTTTTTTTCAAAATGACAATATATTTTAAAATCCATAAAATTTTAATATATAAATAAATCAACAAAAGACACATTTACCTTGTTATATAAAGTAGCTCTGCAAACACTTGATGGTTCCAGTAAGTATTATTCAAGGTTTTGCAGATCTGTGCAACTGTTTTGTTTAACATTGCACAAAAGATTACTCAGAAATCATGCTAGTCATTAGTAAGAATGTGCAGAATTTCTTTTTTTCATATTTGTTTCTGCAAATTCATCAAGCACATAATCTGGGATATTATGGTTGGAATAGCATGCAGGTGGATATTTACGCTTGTGCCACATTTACTTCATCTGAACATGATATGAAACAAGCCTTCATAGACGCTTCAGTGTGTGTGTGTGTGTGTGTGTGTGTTACCTGTTCTGAGTTTTTCTTACTTTTCAGCACTCTTAACTTTTGTTTATAGATGAAGATAGATGTTTGTGCAGAACAACATTTTACAATGTCTGCTGAGGGTCTTACTGGAGTCATTTGTACACTAATAAATATAATCATTCAAATGCAATAGTTCAAAAGACCATACCTGGCTCATAAACATCCAAATGAAATGATGAAATGACTTCAAAACCATTCTTATCCATGAACGAATGGAATGTGAACAGCAAAACTCCCAGAGCAATATCCAATATTCTATTGCCTTTATGTACTAGTCAAATTATCACATTTTGTGTCTTCACAGATCTTGCATACCGTCAGAGAAGACTCTGGCTTCTTCTCTTGCATTGCTATCAACTCTTATGGTGAAGATAAAGGAATCATTCAGTTGATAGTACAAGGTAAAGTTGAATTTAAGATGCAATTGTTCCTTTTATATTAAATTACATTTTTATTTTATTTCATTTTTAATGACAAAGTATGTTATTTATTGTCTAATCTCTACCAACATTTTTCCAAAGATCGCCCTGACCCTCCCGAGGTGGAGATCAGAGAGGTAAAGGATGAATAGATATAAATCAAATAGATTGAGTTAATAAAATTGAGTTTCATTTTTTTTTACATTGGCTAAATTCTGTGTGTCAGTCGTTCATAGAATGAACTTTGATCGTTACGTTGATTGGAAACTTTAAGTGGTTTGTTGGTCTGTCTTTATTTTTGCTATCTTTTTATATTACTACACCCTTTAAACTATGATAGAATGACTGTAGCATAGCCACTTGTGTCACTCTGTATTCCTCTGTATTTCTTTAAGCTCCATGGGCCTCATCTCAAATGACCAAAGACGTCTCCCCTCAGCTGAATCAGGCCACCATCATTGAACTCCACCCTGCTTCCACCTACAACATCCGCATGTTTGCCAAAAACCAGATCGGCGAAAGCAGACCAAGCAATGAGCTGACCATCACCACAGATGAAGCACGTGAGTATTGCTACAACTGAAAATGATGTGAGCTTTTGTGAGGTTTTTCTATAGGATTTCTTTGTATTATCTGTGCCGCCACCTAGAGGCTCAGTCCATTATTTTCTCTGTCTTTCCTGCATGTGATCAATCCAGCACCAGACGGCGCTCCTCAAGACGTGCAGCTGGAAGCAATCTCATCCCAAAGCATCAAAGTCACATGGAAGGTACAACCAAGGAACCACTTGTGATGCTATAGTAGCCTATGCAAAATTGGAATTTGTGCTGGCTAAATCCTGCTACATTTTTTAGGAATATTTTGGGTTTATGCTATATCAACAGTAGTGACTTAATGTTAATTATCACAGAACAGTATGTTTAACTACCCCATCTGGTGCACCAGTTTAAAGAATGTGCCTATGATTACTATGCACACTGTTTTTACAATGTGTACCGCATACTATGGACAGTATCCAAATTCCCTGTATACATGCAGTACCTGAATCTCAGTAGCAGGGAGCACCCAGCAAAAAGAACAGTGGCCAATTTCCAGGCTGCACTGCAGAGCCATTAACAATTGAACTACAATAAGGTATTGATGTACAGATTCAAGTGTAAAAATCTTTTAAATAAAAATGGAGACACAGCAATCTGTATATTGTAGCATTATACAGGACATAGTGACTGATGACTATGCAAAATGTAATTAATTGTCCAATGCAAATGATAATGAAGGGTAACGCAAATATATAAATCTTTGGTATCTTGGCAAATCTGAGCACATTTTAAGACACTGTTCAAACTCTAAAAAGAGACACGTGAAATTCCTAAGGAGCAAAAAAAAAAATTGGAGAGATCATTTAGTGTCAGCATAAGTCTCCATTTACTTGCATTTTGATCTAGGAGAAACAGTTGAGCTAATAAAGATCTCATTTGTGGGCCCCCCCCCCCCCAGATCAGTTAACATTTTGTGTGTGTTGCAGAACTGGGAGAGATCAGGAACATCACAACCACCAAGCCTTCACTAGAGTTGGAACGGCTGGAGAAGTACACCAACTACAGTATCCAGGTCCTGGCCTTCACTCGAGCTGGAGACGGAGTCCGTAGCGAGCAGATCTACACACGCACCAAAGAGGACGGTGAGACTCACTCCGATTGCACATACTCTCATGTTATTTATTTGACATATATAAAAGTTATATGACTCCCCTGTCTCAGTTTAATCTACAGAAACAATAAAAAGGCAATGTCCTACAAGCCAATTTTCATTTACCAGCCCCAAGTCCATGTTATCAATGGTTATTCTGTACCCACCATGGGGTTTTCTGCAATTCTACTACACTTAAATGACACTTTTTCTAAGTTAAGCTGCAAATGGACAAATTCCTTCTACAGCATACACTGATAAAACAGAGTACATATTCCCACACTAAAATCAGTCCCAAAATTGCATACTATTTCATTCTATTACAGTTTCCCACTTTATGTTCTTGCTCTTATTTTGTCAATCATTGACTGGGAATTGGAGAGAACTGTCAGAGGAAGTAGTTTGTTTGTTACCAATCTTCCATTCTTAATCAATAAGTGAAACAGAACTCAGACAGAAACAACAAAAACCATTACCAGGAATCCGGTGCAAAATCAAGCTGGTTCGAGTTGACTAGTGGGATATACTGCCATTTGTAGATTGACTCCTTTGCTCATTGCACAGATGTCTGAGCCCAATGACAAAACCAGTACAAATGGAGAGTGGTGATTGGAGTGTTTGGGGAAATTGTGTGAAATCACACATCTCAGCTTTCTATGAAGTTAGAATAGAACAGCTGTAGGTCACTTCCTTTGTAGCATACAAGGTGTCTTTTCTAGAGCTTCTCCTCACCAAATTTGATTGTTTCTCCTGCTAAAACCAGTTCCTGGCCCTCCGGCTGGAGTTAAGGCAGCTGCTTCAACAAGCTCGGTGGTGTTTGTTTCCTGGCTTCCTCCACTCAAACTCAATGGAATCATCCGGAAATACACCGTCTTCTGTTCCAACCCGTACCCCACGGTGAGCTTATCTGCAGCTCTTTGTGACTTTGCACAGCCCCACATGGCCCCCTCAAACTTAATTATTTAAATTCACCAAAACTGAACAAAACTTTCATTGAATTCTCAGGAATTAAGACAGTGATTCCCTGACCTTGTTCTTGGAGGCACCCCAGAAGTACACATGTTGGATGTTTCCCTTATCTGACCTACACATTTAAGGTCTTGAAATCTCTACTAATGAGCTGATGAGTTGACTCTGATGTGTAATTAGGAGGAGTTTCGAAATATGTAGAGATGATGTGCCTCCAGGAACATGGTTGAGAAACAAGTAAGAGAACACTTTACCATGTAGCTCCTACAAAAAGGCTATGGGTTTGGGATACTTGAATGACCTACTACATTTGCCAATGCAGTTTCAATGTTTATTATTGCTTAATGCATAGAGCTGCTTCTTCTTCTTCTTCTTCAATAGAAGGCAAAGTAGAGTATAAATCACAGAAATGCTAAGGCTGAGCAACTCTGGGCCTCAGAGTCCTCTGTCCTACGGAGTTTAGCCCCAACCCTGATCAAACACACCTAGCTGTCTGTAGTTTTCCAATAATTCTTAAAATCTTCATTAGCTGATTGGTTAGGGTTGGAGCCAGAGTTGCCCACCTCTGCAGTCTGCCGTAAGCAGTACCGTATTCCATTTTGCAGCACTTTTTTTTTTAAGTGAATGCCCTAAATAAGTGGTGTCCAAGCCTTCAAGCTGAGTTTGCCTCATGCCCTTATTAAACACACCTGAACTCAAGGTCTTCAGGGTCAATAGAAACTTCTAGGCAGGTGTGTTGGAGCTAAACTGTGCATCAAAGTGGCCCTCCAGGAGCAGGATTGGACACCTCTGCATTAAATGTAAAAACAAGGCAGGAGTGCTTTCTAACTAATATAATTGTTTTGTTTTTCTTATGAAAACTTTTAATTGGGTATCATTACAGGTGATCAGTGAGTTTGAGGCTGCACCTGATGTTTATTTCCGTCGTTTGACCAACCTGAATCAGAACTGGCAGTACAGCATTTGGGTTGTGGCCGTCACTGCGGCGGGCCGTGGGAATGCCAGTGAAATTATCACCGTAGAGCCCCAAGCTAAAGGTATGCAAGACTGGCTCATGGCAATCAATCACCCTTTCTGTAACTTTTAGTGTGTGGTAGAGTCGGGATACACCATATTGTACCATTAACAGAACCAATTTGACATAGAGGAGTTTGTATGAGAGGCTTTGTCCACCATTGTGATGGCATTGTTGGTTTCTTAAGCCCCTGCACGAATCCTGACGTTCAGCGGCACTGTGACCACCCCCTGGATGAGGGACATTGTCCTTCCATGCAAAGCAGTTGGAGACCCTCCTCCAGCCATCAAGTGGCTGAAGGGAAAGTATGTTTGATTTCTATATTCTTTACATTTATATATAGAACATACTTTGCTTTCTCTGTTTTGGCCAGACAAACACTGTTGCGCTTGATTAATATGAGGTTTTGCAATAAAGGATTAGTTCACTCCCAGAATAAAAGGCTGCGTTTACACTGCAAGTCTTAATGCACAGATCCGATCTTTTGACCATATCCGATTTTTTGGCACGTCTGTTTACATTCACTTTAGACACGACTGGTATCCGATATCTGTGTTTACATTCATTCCCACCCAAAAGGATTGTCTGCAGTGATCTCTTTACTATGCACATGGTAGCCCCTCGGGTTTTAAATGGCCGTTAAAATTATTTATATAATTCACATCGACTGGCCATTATTATTTGCCAGCATGGACAACGGCCGTCATGGATGTTTTGCAGCACAAAATCTGACAACGGATAAAGACCGGAAAATAAAGGTAATTTTAATTTGTTCGACTATTTTATCTACAGCTCGTTAGAGGTAGAATTCTTTAGTGAAATAAAGTTGATATTTATTGAAATGAATTCGAATTAAGGCGAGAGAGAGAGAACGAACGAACGAACGTATGCACCCACGTGCGAGCGAGCGATTGTGAAGCATTGCAAACAAGCTTGTCGGTTTAATTACAAAAACTGCTAAGTTATCACCTCATTGCTGAGAAATATATGTAGCTTTTAGCTGTTGTATTTTCAAAATTCACGGGGCGGGGGTTGAAAACCAGCTCCTGAATGTGCAATTTCTTACCTATAAAAAGTTTCCATCTCAATAAAATGCGAGCGCATACAGCACGCCGGCATTAAAACGCCATTAAAAATCTTTATGAGCAAACGTGTCGCCCTCGCATTGGGAGTTCTGTGGAGATCAAAATCCACATTTGGAAGTGGCTCAGATCGGATGCAAAACAATCGGATCTTGTGCGGGTTTTTTTCTGTAACTTTTAGTGTGTGGTAGAGTCGGGATACACCATATTGTACCATTAACAGAACCAATTTGACATAGAGGAGTTTGTATGAGAGGCTTTGTCCACCATTGTGATGGCATTGTTGGTTTCTTAAGCCCCTGCACGAATCCTGACGTTCAGCGGCACTGTGACCACCCCCTGGATGAGGGACATTGTCCTTCCATGCAAAGCAGTTGGAGACCCTCCTCCAGCCATCAAGTGGCTGAAGGGAAAGTATGTTTGATTTCTATATTCTTTACATTTATATATAGAACATACTTTGCTTTCTCTGTTTTGGCCAGACAAACACTGTTGCGCTTGATTAATATGAGGTTTTGCAATAAAGGATTAGTTCACTCCCAGAATAAAAGGCTGCGTTTACACTGCAAGTCTTAATGCACAGATCCGATCTTTTGACCATATCCGATTTTTTGGCACGTCCGTTTACATTCACTTTTGACACAACTGGTATCCGATATCTGTATTTACATTAGCCTAATTCCCACCCAAAAGGATTGTCTGCAATGATCGCTTTACTATGCACATGGTAGGCCATCGGGTTTTAAATGGCCGTGCTTTTAAAATTATTTATATAATTCACGTCGAATGGCCATTATTATTTGCCAGCATGGACAACGGCTGTCATGGATGTTTTGCAGCACAAAATCTGACAACGGATAAAGACCGGAAAATAAAGGTAATTTTAATTTGTTCGACTATTTTATCTACAGCTCGTTAGAGGTAGAATTCTTTAGTGAAATAAAGTTGATATTTATTGAAATGAATTCGAATTAAGGCGAGAGAGAGAGAACGAACGAACGAACGTATGCACCCACGTGCGAGCGAGCGATTGTGAAGCATTGCAAACAAGCTTGTCGGTTTAATTACAAAAACTGCTAAGTTATCACCTCATTGCTGAGAAATATATGTAGCTTTTAGCTGTTGTATTTTCAAAATTCACGGGGCGGGGGTTGAAAACCAGCTCCTGAATGTGCAATTTCTTACCTATAAAAAGTTTCCATCTCAATAAAATGCGAGCGCATACAGCACGCCGGCATTAAAACGCCATTAAAAATCTTTATGAGCAAACGTGTCGCCCTCGCATTGGGAGTTCTGTGGAGATCAAAATCCACATTTGGAAGTGGCTCAGATCGGATGCAAAACAATCGGATCTTGTGCGGGTTTTTGTGTTTACACGTGTGCAACAAATTCCGATCTGTGTCAGATGTGACCGAAAGATCGGATTTTTTGTGCCAGTGTAAATGCAGCCAAAATGTCCTGAGAATTTACTCACCCCCATGTCATCCAACATGTTCATGTCTTTCTTTCTTCAGTCGAAAAGAAAATTAAGGTTTTTGAGGAAAACATTCCAGGATTTTTTCCATATAGTGGACTTCAATGGGAGACAATGGGTTGAAGGTCTAAATTGCAGTTTCAGTGCAGCTTCAAAGGGCTCTTCACCGAGGCATAAGGGTCTTATCTAGCGAAACAACCTCATTTTCTAAACAAATAAACATTTATATACGTTTTAACCGCAAACGCTCGTCTTGCATTAGCTCTGCGATGACTTCACTTCACTACAGGTTGGAAAGGTCAAGCGCAGTTAACCTTCGTCTGTGTATTTCGGTTAAAAAGGTAGGGTATAGGGCGAAAAACTCCATCTCATTTTCTCCTCCAACTTTAAAATCGTTTTTGTAAAGGGTGTCGGTACTACCGCCTACGTCACATGTGACCTTTCCAACGTAACTACGTAATGTGTGAGGTCGAGCTAGTGCATGATGAGCATTTCGGTTAAAAAGGTAGGGTATAGGGCGAAAAACTCCATCTCATTTTCTCCTCCAACTTTAAAATCGTTTTTGTAAAGGGTGTCGGTACTACCGCCTACGTCACATGTGACCTTTCCAACGTAACTACGTAATGTGTGAGGTCGAGCTAGTGCATGATGAGCATTTTTTGTTAAAAAGTTTATTTTTTTTTCTTTTTTTTTTTTGAATATGATTGATCGTTTCGCTAGATAAGACCCTTATTCCTCGGCTGGGATCGTGTAGAGCCCTTTGAAGCTGCACTGAAACTGCAATTTTGGTCTTCAACCCGTTGGCTCCAATTGAAGACCACTATATGGAGAAAAATCATGGAATGTTTTCCTCAAAATTTCTTTTTGACAGAATCAAGAAATTTGTATTCTGGAAGTGAACTAATCCTTTAATATATAGTCATTTTGTAAGTCTTGTCAAATTGTTTTCATTTAATAAAGACACCAGAAGTGCATTCATTCAAATGAATTCATTCTTGTGAATCATACTTGCTATGAAACTGATAATGTTTTCATACAGTAATGGTACACCAGCTCCAGTTTCAATCGATGGTCGCCGCAGTGCTCACAGCAATGGCAGCTTTGTTATTCGCACTGTCAAAGCAGAGGACTCTGGGTACTACAGATGTGTTGCCAGTAACAACTGGGGTTCGGATGAGATTATGCTAAACCTTCAGGTCCAAGGTGTGTATGAGATCAGATATTCAAAATCTCCATGTGGAAATCTATGAAATGGCTGGATTGCATCCTTGAAAATTCACTGAACAATGTGACTGCTCCTTTAGTAGCTGACACCGTTTTTGTGTTCACTCTCAAAATGTTTCAGTACCTCCGGACCAACCGCGCCTCACAGTGACCAAAACCACAACCACCTCTATCACACTGTCCTGGATCCCTGGAGACAATGGAGGAAGCTCCATCAGAGGTTAGACTGCACTGATATTTATATTCCATATATTCATCCACTTATTCTCCACTGTGTGACAAATATGGAACACTATCCACCTAGACCTGTCAAATGCTTTAAACTGAGATTTATTTCACACGCTGTAATATTTTAATAAACTTGAAGGTCAGGTTTGTATAGTAGGTGCTCTGTATCCATTTACAGCGCCCATAAAAGTGAATAAAATAAAGTGTGGCATTTGGGGTTTATTTTAAAAGTGGTGTGGTGTTCTTTGTTCAGGCTACATTCTGCAGTTCTCTGAGGATAACAGTGAAGAGTGGGGCAGTTTCTCCATCAGCCCCAGTGAGCGGTCTTACCGTCTAGAAAACCTAAAGTGCGGTACTTGGTACAAATTTACTCTGACTGCACAAAATGCAGTTGGACCTGGACGCATCAGTGAAATCATTGAGGCTAAAACCCATGGGAAAGGTATGAATATTTTATAATATATAGTTATTTATGCTCATCACTAGTGGCTAACATTCATGACAGATAACTGAATGGTAGCCTAATTGAATTGTAACCTACTGCTGATTCAAAGCAGGCTATGAGCAACTATGCCCTTGAGCGAGGTGTACAAAAACCTCTTTGAAATAAAACCACTAGTTTATAATACACTTTTCATTACCGTGTTCACATACAAGTTGAAACAATTTAGGAGATCATGTTAAAGCTTTGTCCTTTTCTTATGAATGGCCAATAACAAAATTTGAGAACACAATTTTTAAAACATAATGAATAAAAATGTGTGAATTAGTGGCCATTCATTCATGATAAATATTTTGCACAGTAGTCTGCTGTCTGACACGGGTCACGACGAGGCGTTCCCCATAGCGACCCCTAGAGGACGCAGTTCGAAGTTCCCATGAAAGGGAACTGAATGGTAGCCTAATTGAATTGTAACCTACTGCCGATTCAAAGCAGGCTATGAGCAACTATGCCCTTGAGCGAGGTGTACAAAAACCTCTTTGAAATAAAACCACTAGTTTATAATACACTTTTCATTACCGTGTTCACATACAAGCTGAAACAATTTAGGAGATCATGTTAAAGCTTTGTCCTTTTCTTATGAATGGCCAATAACAAAATTTGAGAACACAATTTTTTTAAAAACATAATGAATAAAAATATGTGAATTAGTGGCCATTCATTCATGATAAATATTTTACACAGTAGTCTGCTGTCACATGACATGAAATAGTATGTTAGCATGCTATTCCAATCATAGCCATGATTTACTACTTGTTATTTGATGGGGAGGGTCATTCTTATTCCAGATTACATTTAGTAAGACATAAAAAATTTGTATGCACCCCTGAGCATGTCATCAGTACTTTTGGTAACCAACACATCCACTCACACACACATGCGTACACACACACTTGTACACACACACACACACACCTATGAACTGGTGTGACTGTAACACAACAAATATGTAAAATAAAAGCAATAATTCAACTACAATGCAGTAAAAAAAAAAGTGGACAGCAAGGAAGGGGTTACATTCTAAAACATCAAGAGTGCAAAACAGACACACTCACTCAAACACACACTCACTTACATACACTCACAGACACACACACAAACATACTCAAATTCATTGGTATGGCTATAACCATATAGCCAAAACGGGTCAGAAAACTGAAATAAGAGGTTGAAATCAGATCAAACCCAGAAGGATTAAGCTCTGATAAAACATTTCTGTTCATTTTTGTTACTTTTGTTATTTTTATAGAATGTTTATGTTTTGTGTAACAAAATGCTTTCTCTGTGTTCAGGTTTGACTGTAGTAATAATAATTTAAAAAACTGATGCTTCAAATCAACATTTCAAACCAAAAAAAATCTAAACCTTTACAAAAAGTTGTCTTTGAGAATGTCTAAATATATATCCAAATCCACAACTTAATAAAAATAAGTATTTATGTCTAAAAACAATTAGAGAATTTATAGGCCTTTTATATAGAGCTATATAGGAATATATGGGCTAAACCATGGAATTGCAGATGTTTTTTTTATTTTACTCCCACCAGATGGCACTAATCTGGCTTCGAAAATTGGATTTTAAAGGCATTGACTCTATATTAAAGGTGCAGTTGGAGAACTTGGAAAATGCTAACTTTAGCCTGATAGCACTGAAAGCGAATATCCCACCCTCCCTGCGATCGCCGTCCAAAGCCACGCCCTCTGAATGCATTTATTCTCGATCTGTCTGCACAGTGTGCGTGAACGCGCTGATGACGTATCCTGTCTGCGCGAACTGGGTACATATGTTGATAGGCAGGTAGGAAAGCCAATTAAAAGCGTTTTGATTGGACGAACATTTCTTAGTTCTACGCCTTCCACAGAATATATAAATACATTTAGACCACTTAACTTGATTGCTATTGGGATGTGAAGAGACTTTCAACCAGCATAACAAAAAAAATAAATTCTGAAGACAATTACCTATTGCGCCTTTAACATGAAATACTGCATTCATTGAAAAGTAATATAAAAATATATTTACATTTTTTAATGATTATTTTCAATGGGCAGAAAATCATCATAATCATTGCATAAATATCACCAGTGAGAAAACTTTAAAAGTACTACAATACCAGGAAGGCAGATCAGGTTGTTGATGTTTGTTGCATTCTCGATCTGTCTGCACAGTGTGCGTGAACGCGCTGATGACGTATCCTGTCTGCGCGAACTGGGTACATATGTTGATAGGCAGGTAGGAAAGCCAATTAAAAGCGTTTTGATTGGACGAACATTTCTTAGTTCTACGCCTTCCACAGAATATATAAATACAGATAAATACATTTAGACCACTTAACTTGATTGCTATTGGGATGTAAAGAGACTTTCAACCAGCATAACAAAAAAAAATTTCTGAAGACAATTACCTATTGCACCTTTAACATGAAATACTGCATTCATTGAAAAGTAATATAAAAATATATTTACATTTTTTAATGATTATTTTCAATGGGCAGAAAATCATCATAATCATTGCATAAATATGAATTAGTGCCATGAAATTATCTCAAAATACAAAATAAATAATATTATTGAACAAAAAATATATTACATTGATTTTACTGGGGCGAAAAAAGTTACATTTCATGTGTCCGGTCACTTTTGGCCGTGAATATCACAAGTGTGACTCGCAAATGAGGAGCACCAGTGCAGATACCCCAATGAAATATTACTCCAGTAGACGTATAAGTACTTATTTTATATTTTACTTGAGTAAAAATAAAACAGCACTTCTTTTTGAACATTCTTAAGTATTAAAAATAAAAGTACTGAATGGTATATAGTATAATATACAGTATAAAGCCCCAGTACTGTATTACTAATTATAGGAAAGTACATTTTTTTGTTTGTAATCAAGGATCTTTGTGCAGTAGTGATATAGAACTGTAATGCAGTCAAGACATGGATTTAATCATCATCTTAGAATGTCTAAAGTTGAATTGGATACCTCAGTGTATTAGATTAATGCATTGTCCTCTGCACCTCTTGCCTGTCCGTTATCCTGAATAATCATCATAAACATGCTTTCGTTTCACATCACGCCATTGAGTATGACCTGAAAGAATATTGAGGTTGCCTCTATCCAGTCCTATGATTTGAATAACATGTACAGCACATGAACGGTTTGATTGAGTTCACAGGAAGTGAATATCAACTTTCTCTGCTCATTGATGGCGTCAGTGGAGCTGAACTGAAGAGGAGCATTTCTCTGACACAGGTCGTGATTACAATCATTGATGATTCAGGTGGATTCGCCAGCGTTGACTTAAAGGAACAGTTCACCCAAAAATTGTAGCAAAAATGTAGCAAGGACATCAGTAAAACAGTCCATGTGACATCAGTGGCTCAACTTCAGTTTTGCGAAGCTACGAGAATACTTTTTAAGCGCAAAGAAAACAAAAATAACAATTTATTCAACAATTCTTCTCCCCCGAGTTACGTCTTCCGCCATTTTAGAGAGTATCACAACACATACGCACGCTTTCCCCAGTGTGTAAACAATGCTGATTACACAGATTATGTTCATGCGCGCGCTTTCTCCCCCGAACGTAAACAGCGCTGATTACGTCGATTACGCTCTTGGGTTACGCTCCAAAATGGCGGAAGACGTAACTCGGGGGAGAAGAATTGTTAAATAAATTGTTCTTTTTGTTTTCTTTTCTCTCAAAAATTATTCTCGTTGCTTCGCAAAACTGAAGTTGAGCCACTGATGTCACATGGACTGTTTTACCGATGTCCTTACTACGTTTCTGGACCTGGGAACATTACAGTTGCGTTGCTGTCTATGCAGGGTCTGAGAGCTCTCCGATTTCATCAAAAATATCTTAATTTGTGTTCCGAAGTTGAACGAAGATCTTACAGGTTTGGAACAACATGAGGGTGAGTAATTAATGACAGAATTTTCATTTTGGGGTGAACCAACCCTTTGAATAAATTGTTTACCCAAAAATGAAAATTCTGTCATGTTCACCCTCACGTCATTCAAACCCATGACTTTTTTATGGAGTTCCAAAAGAACGACTTTTACAAAGTTCTTTTCTCTATTTTCAAGGTGTTTTATGGAGTATTATGGCTCTTTACAGTACATTGTAATATCATGGTTAATCAGTACCATAGATACAATTGAAGACAAATGTTTACATACACCTTGCAGAATCTGCAAAATGTTAATTATTTGACCAAAATAAGAGGGATCATACAAAATGCATGTTATTATTTTAGTACTGACCTGAATAGGTTATTTCACATAAAAGATGTTTACATATAATCCACAAGAGAAAATAATAGTTGAGTTTATAAAAATGACCCCGTTCAAAAGTTTGCATCCCCTTGATTCTTAAAACTGTGTTGTTACCTGAACGACCCACAGCTGTACTTTTTTTGTTTAGTGATAGTTGTTCATGAGTCCCTTGTTTGTCCTGAACCGTTAAACTGCCTGCTGTTCTTCAGAAAAATCCTTCAAGTCTCACAAATTCTTTGATTTTCCAGCATTTTAGTGTATTTGAACCCTTTCCAACAATGACTGTATGATTTTGAGATCCATCTTTTCACACTGAGGACAGCCGAGGGACTCGTATGCAAATATTACAGAAGGTTCAAGCGCTCAAACAGTCCCTCAGTTGTCCTCAGTGCGATCCGCAGTGTTGTCCTCCGTGTAAATCACTGTAAATCATTCAGGTAACAGCACAGTATTAAGAATCAAGTGTATGTAAACTTTTGAACGGGGTCATTTTTATAAATTCAACTATTATTTTTTCTTGTGGACTATATGTTATGTTAAATGTCTTTTTCAGGTCAGTACTAAATAAACAATAACATGCATTTTGTATGATTCCTCTTATTTTGGTGAAATAATTAACATTTTGCAGATTCTTCAAGGTGTATGTAAACTTTTGACTTCAACTGTATACTTGGCGTATCAAAGTACCACGGTATCATCATCTGATACCATCACTACACCATAGTATAACCACAGTAGTTTTTTATAAAGGAGGGCAGAGATTTGGTTCACTTTACGCTGGTCACTCTGTGCCATATTAACGTGTACTGTATGTCTCTGTTTCCTCAGACCCCACTGCCCGCCGCACAGCTAAAGCAGGTCCCGCCACACGCAGTCGATACGCCAGCCAGTGGACCCTGAACCGACCGCACCCTCCCGTCTCCTCACACACCCTCACTACTGACTGGAGGCTTCCCACACCCCGCGCCACGGGCTCAGTGGACAAAGAGAGTGACAGTTACAGCGTCAGTCCCTCTCAGGACACAGGTAACAGCCAACTGTTTCAGTTAAAAAACTCATGCACGAAAAAAAAATAGTAATAGTATGATGTTCTATGAAAACACACTGTAACTTTCAGACCTGGAAATACGTGGCTCTAAATACATTTCAATTACAATACAGTCCAGTGAGTGGCGCTAAAATGCAGGTTCAATATGTGACCCTGGTACATTTTTTTTTACGTTATCATGTGTCTTCAGAGACTTTGGATTAAACTGCTTGATTATACAGTGTATGGATTACTTATGGAAATGGACTTTTTGATTTGTGAACATTTTGGTTACGTGGGCTTTAAATGAGTGGACAAAAATGGCGATAGAATATAAAAGATATCTTCATTTGTGTTTCAAAGATGACCAAATTGTCTTATGTGTGAAAAAGTTTAGTGTTACAAATGAGTGACTGATGTTTATTTTTAATAAAAAATTCCTGCACCAACTATATTTGGACCCAACAGAAAAATCTCAAATCTTTAATTAAACTGTGTTGCTCATTTGACAAGCAAAGAGATTATCAGAGAGCATTTCCATAGAAAAATATTTGACTTCATTTGTTCTCGCGGAAGCGCAGACGTGCTTGTGTGAAAGCATGCTTGGCCGTCCATTTAACACATTTGATGTGCCCTATGTATGTCCATGGATCAGTGTTTATAGTATGTGACTAAAAGCCTAAGTTAAATATTAAAGCGATCATGTGTCTTCAGAGACTTTGGATTAAACTGCTTGATTATACAGTGTATGGATTACTTATGGAAATGGACTTTTTGATTTGTGAACATTTTGGTTACGTGGGCTTTAAATGAGTGGACAAAAATGGCGATAGAATATAAAAAATATCTTCATTTGTGTTTCAAAGATGACCAAATTGTCTTATGTGTGAAAAAGTTTAGTGTTACAAATGAGTGACTGATGTTTATTTTTAATAAAAAATTCCTGCACCAACTATATTTGGACCCAACAGAAAAATCTCAAATCTTTAGTTAAACTGTGTTGCTCATTTGACAAACAAAGAGATTATCAGAGAGCATTTCCATAGAAAAATATTTGACCGGTCAGACAGATGATGGTCATGAAAATTTTTATAACTGACATTATCAGTTGAATGTATTACCAGAAGTCAGAATTAATGAAAAAGACAGCATGACACTGCAGTAACATCCCATGTAACCCAAGTGGACCACAAGCTTTGTGAAATATAATGCCATGTGCGTTCTCTCTTACAGACCGTGCTCGCAGCAGTATGGTGTCTACAGAAAGCGCCTCCTCCACGTACGAGGAGTTAGCCCGTGCTTACGAACATGCTAAGATGGAGGAACAGCTGCGACACGCTAAGTTCACGATCACAGAATGTTTCATCTCAGACACATCCTCCGAACAGATGACGGCCGGCACCAATGATTACACAGACAGCTTGACGTCCAGCACGCCGTCAGAGTCAGGCATCTGCAGATTCACTGCTTCCCCACCCAAACCACAAGACGCCAGCCGGGTCATGAACATGGCCGTGCCCAAAGCACACAGACCCGGTAAGACCTGGCGACAAATACGGGGAAGCATCAACTTGCCTAATCTCCAGTTCAAACTAAATTCTCAAACTGACACTGTTGTATCAAAATGAAGCTTAGTAAGAACTCTCTAGTGTGTAGGCATCTTTAGAACAGCAACACTGTGCAACTTCTGGTCAAATGTTTGGAATTATTAAGATGCTTTTCAAGGAAATCCAAAGCTCACCAAAGCTACATTTGTTTAATGAAAAACACAGTAAAATTGAAATATTGCAAAATATTATTACAATTTAAAATAAAGTTTTCTATTTAAATGCATTTTAAAATTTAATTTTCAGCAGCCAGTCTTCAGTGCTGCATGATCCAGAAATCCTGCTAATATGCTGTTTTGGTGCTTAAGAAACATTTCTTCTTATTATCAATGTTCCAAAGTTTTTGCTGCTTTTTTTGGGGGGGGGGGGTATTTGTGATAAACTACCGTTTGATGTAATTAAAAAGTAAAAAATAATTTGTACGAATTTTTAGAAGTGTTCCATTTTATTTATAGCATGGATGCATTAAATTGAACAAAAGTGATAGTAAAGACATTTTCTATTTCAAATAGATTGTATATTTTTTTACTTTCTATTCATCATAGAATGTAGAAAAAAATGTAGCATATATTATTAAGCAACAAAAAATGCACCAAATCAGCATATTAGAATTATTCCTGAAGAAAATGAAAGATTTGATTCAGCTTTGTCATCACAGGAATACATTTATATAGAAAATATATTCAAATAGAAAACGGCTATTTAAAATTTTTAAAATATTTTGCGATATTACTGGTTTTGCTAGCGCAAGCCGTATTGTGGAGTTAAAATAGTACTCTCAGGATTTACTAAAGATGCGCAGTGATGAATTAGCGCTGAAAAGGCGTGGACACAGTTATGTTTGTGCCTGACCTTATTGAATATGCATTTGAAGGAGTTTCCCTTTCAGACGCAAAATTTATGGGAGGAGATATTAAAATGAATCACACAATGCGATTTACTAACGTTTACGCTCATCAAATTACTGGTATTTGGGCCATTATTAACGCCCCAAAAAAGCACGTCTTAAAGCAGGCATTAATTTGTGCTGCTCTTGGCAGATTGCACTGGTCATTATGGAAATGATCTGGCTGTGTCTGTGTTAATGTGCGCATTGTCAGTAAACCACACGCAGAATTTTTGTTCTGCGTGTGGTTTTTTTGTCCCCCCCAAAAAAAATTTCCAACATTTTGACCAGTAGTGTATGCGTGCGAGCTTTCTTTTGTGTTTTCCACACGTTCCTCAGTTTACCTGTTCACCAGTCAGCTATCACTCTTGCAGTGTGCTATCAATTCCTGTGTTGATGGGTACAGGCTTGAAGCCAAACACACTGCCATGTTCTTTTCGCATCAATGGGCTTAACGTGTCCTGCGTCTGGGCCACCCAGGGCTGATTTTGGCCCCAGACGGATCTTGAGTTACTGGTTAGGGTTTAGGGTTACTGTCTCATTGTGAATGTATCTAGGCATTATGCCCCCAGACAGGAAGCCTTTGGTTAGTGAGAGCACCTGGGCAAATAGGGCCGATCTGCATCCTGTGCTGGGGAGGTATCATCTGTCTTTACAAAACAGCAGTTTACTATCACAATGGAGCTGTTGAATGTGATATGAACTTCAAGCACTGGCCTTATTGGAAAAGAGTTTATATAATACTGTATTCCACTCATTTAATCACCCAGATACTTAGAGAAACATGAAAACAAACAAATCCATTGAGAGAGAAAGTGAGGTTACATTCATTCTTGTCTGATCAAGCAATGTTTTGTATGTGTGAGGTATATATGACATCTTTATCTTTGATTTAAAATCCAGCTAGTTGTTTGGACAACTAGATGATTAGTCTATTACAACAATTTGTATGTATGCACAACCCAAGTATAGGCAGCGAGGCATCTCACTAGGTTTTGGAACAGAGCTCATGAACAATCAGTTGAATTAAGCAGTCATGGCAGTTGATTTTTAAAGAGATACATTCATAATTATTTTTAGAAAAGAAAACTTCAGTCTATGTTTAATAAAGTGGCTGACCATTTATCACTGGGTTTAATAAAGCCTATTAAACAAATTTAAATGATTAAATTTAACAAAAAATAATAATAATAATAATTTTAAAAAAAAATCAAACATTGAATAGAAAAGATTCATAATTACTAATTATTTATTTATACAGATTAAAAATAACATTTTTGCTCAATTGTTTGTATGATGTTTTGTTGCCAATTGCAATGTAAACACATTTTCTTCAATAGAGTAGATATTTTCCGTTATAGGTCCAAATTGTATATTGTATTATAAGTAAATTTGGAACTTTATATAGAAGGGTATAATGTAATGCACAATGGTAAGGAAATGGAAATAGGAAGATTGAACAGGATAGGAATAAAAATTGGCGAATACTCTGTGAGAGTTTGAGATGTAGTTTAGTGATGGTTTTGATATGTATCTTACATGAAGTTTAGTATAGAATTTAAAAATGCTTTATTGATTCTCAGTTTCCCCTGAATTCAATTTCCAGAGGAGATCAATGGAGTACAAGTATCTTATCCTATCCCACCCTAAACCTATTCTGTCCAATCCTAAAACTACACTGTCCATGTCCTGTACTCTCTATGTCTACCTGCTATATGGTATCAATAGACCCGAGGAAAACCCAGAATCTTATTTTGAACCTAGAGCATTCCTTTAAAATCTACTTCCTCTATCTTTTTTCCCTCATTTACTGTTGTGGAAACCTGTCCCAAACCAGTCCAATCTTGCCCTATCCTTACCCGAACTATCCTATCCCTACCCTACCATAATTTAACCCTAACAAAATCCTCACACTTAACTCTCCTAAGATATTACCCTGTACTACCCTAACACAAACCTATCCTATCCCAACCTAGACCTTCCCTAAACCTACCCTGTCCTGTCCTGTTCTACCTTGTAATTCTACCTGTAATATTCTACCGTAAACCTATCCTATCCTGCACTAAACTTAACCTAACCCCCTCCTAGCATATTCTGTCTTACTTTGTACTGCCCTAAAACAAATCTGCGCTATATCCTAAATCTATCCTACTCTACCCAATAGTAAATCTGTCTTGTCCTGTCCTGTCCCTATGCTACCCTGAAGCTAACCTAACATACCCTATCCTACCATAAAACAAATCTCTCCATTTCTAAACATATTTTATCCTACCCTTTAACCTACTCTATTCTGTTCTGTCCTATCCTAAACCTGACCTGTTCTACCCTACCCTACCTTATCCTATCCTAAAACTCTCCTGTCCTGTCCTTTGCTGTTGATAGATCTTGAACCCAGAACATTCCTTTAAAGGATTAGTTCACTTCCAGAATAAAAAATGTCCTGATAAATTACTCACCCCCATGTCATCCAAGATGTTCAAGTCTTTCTTCAGTCGCAAAGAAATTAAGTTTTTTTTAAGGAAAACATTCCATGATTTTTCTCCTTATAGTGGACTTCAGTGGTGGACAACGATTTGAAGGTCCAAATTGCAGTTTCAATGCAGCTTTAAACGACTCTACCTGATCCCAGCTGAGGAATAAGGGATTTTATTAAATTTATATTTATATACTTTTTAACCACAAATGCTCGGCTTGCTGTAGCTCTGCGATGCGCATGCGCGTCTTCACACATTGCGTAATCCTGTTGGAAATGTCACGCGCGGTTAGTTCTCCGTCTGTGTACTTCGGTTAAAAACGCCATCTCATTTTCTCCTCCAACTTTAAAATCATCTGACATCGTTGTTTTACCTTATTTGTAAAGGGCATTTGACTTGTTTTTGCATGTTCACTTTGTAAACACTGGGTTGGTACTTCCGCCTACGTCACGCATGACCTTTCCAACATCACCTAATAAAGACGCGCATCGCAGAGCTAATGCTAGCCGAGCATTTGGGGTTAAAAAGTGTATAAATATTAGGGATGCATGATATTAGCGAACCAATATCGGAATCGGCCGATAATGGATTTAAATATAAATATCGGCATCGCCCTATTTGAAAAATAATGCCGATATGTCTTACCTATAAGAGGAATACATTAACTTATATGTGCTCAGGGTGTGCTAGCAATTAGATCACGTCAACAGTCCGATTAGATCACGTCAGCAGTGTGGCTCATTCTTGAAGCAAAGTTTTGCCTGAATGGTGATTGGATTAACTGTTTTGGATGCTGCATTTAAACTGAGAATGCACGTACAGAATGACACGTTTCAGAATTTTTACAACTCTTTTGCTTTAGACCAGGGGTGTCAAACTCAATTCCTGGAGGGCCGGAGCCCGGCAGAGTTTAGATTCAACCCTAATTAAACACACCTTAACCAACTAATCAAGTCATTCAGGCTTATTTGAAAACTACATGGTATGTGTGTTGGAACAAAACTCTGCAGGGCTCCGGCCCTCCAGAAATTGAGTTTGACACCCCTGCTTTAGACCATTTACAAATATTACATCATAAAATAAAATGTTACGGTTACCACTGCATCTTTCTGAAAAAAATGCACTGATTTATATATAGTTTATTTATAGCTATTTTCAAATCTTCAATGTATTGTCATTATAAAATAACTTTATTATTGTTTATTTAATTCTAACACATAAGTTCCTGTTAAAAACTAACCAAAATTAAAAATAATTATATATCAGCATCGGCTATCGGCCAAAATTGGTTGAAAATTATTGGCATATCGGATATCGTCAAAAATCCAATATCGTGCATCCCTAATAAATAATAATCCCTAATAATTTTTTTTTTATTTAATCTTTTTATTTTTTTTAAGAAAATGACCAATCGTTTCACTAGATAAGATCCTTGTTCCTCGGCTGGGATCGTGTAGAGCCCTTTGAAGCTGCATTGAAACTGCAATTTGGACCTTCGCTGGCCACCATTGAAGTCCACTGTATGGAGAAAAATCCTGGAATGTTTTCCTCATAAACCTTAATTTCTTTGCGACTGAAGAAAGACATGAACATCTTGGATGACATGGGGGTGAGTAAATTCTCAGGAAAGATAATTTTTTCATCATTTATCTCAGTGTGGAAAGCAAATCTGATCTTTGAGCAGTGCTCACACTCACATGACCCTGTCTGTCTTGTAGCAGGTGAACTGGTCCATCTTCCCCCTTACCTACGCATGGACTTCCTTTTGAACCGGGGAGCAGCCCCTTCAGGTCGAGAGGCCACAGGACAGACTTGTATGGACCCGCAGAAGAGCCGAATGGCGAAGCGGCCAGCCTTGCTGGCCCCCACACCCTCCGAGACCCCCTCGTCAGCCCTCTCTTCCTCCGGCCCCCCCAGCAGAGAGGCAGTACAACAGTGGCAGCCGGGAACTGCCTCCACACTGCCACAGCGCGAGCCGGGCGACCTGGCCCAGGCCGCCAAACTCAGCAGCTCCCAGGAGTCACTTCTAGACTCCAGAGGACACCTGAAACAAAGCAACAACCCCTACGCAAAGTCCTACACACTTGTATAACACAGGACTACAGCTGCGGACCACGTTGCACTGTCACGCACACACAAACACGTGAGGACCTGCTGCAAAGACGAGCGCTTTTCTGATTCAGAGATGAGTCCTGTACATACATTCTGAATTCCTAAAGAAGTGGATAGTTTTCTTTGCATCTGTCTATCTATCTATCTATCTATCTATCTGTCTGTCTGTCTATCTATCTATCTATCTATCTATCT